GTTTGAAAAATATTGCAAATCCCATGGCTTGCAGATCTATTGTGATTCATGCCTAATTAGACAATTGATGACTCCAAGCAAACAGCAAACATCTTCTAGCAAAGTATGTTGTTGAATATGTCAAAACATTTGGGGAAGAGAAATCAAATGAGAGATCTATGAAAATCTAGAATTTTTGAGCAATTCGAGGTGAAGCTGTGCATTGCATTGTCCAAGACAAAGAACTCTACATTGGAAATCGAAAGCTGATGTCTGAACAAGATATTGAGATTTCAAAGGACGTACAAAAGTACTTCGATGAAACTAAGCAGCTTGCTCAAACATGAGTCTTGTTGTCTTTTGAGAAGAAAATAGTTGGATTTATTTCAATATCAGACCCTGTAAAGCTAGAAGCTCCTAGAGTTGTTTCCTTATTCAAAAGTATGTGCATTCATAGCATTTTGTGGCGGCACAACAAAGTTGTACTCAGACCATCACATTTAGCTCATGCCTACATCTAACGTAGAGAAGAGTTATTCGCTGGATTTTCTCTGGCAAATTGTAGATTTTGGCCATACACATGTTAGTTGTAATCAAGATCACTCTTTTGTTCTACTCTTAATAATATGATGAATGTTTGTTTTCGTAAGTGAATGATTTTATTTTTTTATCTCTTGGGATACTATAAATTTTTTAGAATTTGTGTGTCCTCTATTACAAATTGTTTCAGACTGGAAGAGAGTACGCGCTGAGTTAATATAACAACAACCCATCTTAATAAGCGCACAACGTCTATGAATGATATGCTTGTTTGCAAACAAGGGTCAAGTTTCTTCCTGCAACCTCTCTCTGATTTTTTTTTTTTGTGGTCGGATATGATGAGCACAACTTTAAGAGATGTAAGTTGTGAGTAATGTTGTTATGTTGAAATTTAACTATGCACACCAGATCCAACTACTTCATATCAGAAGGAGAGGTTTGTAGTCAGATCAAAGTACACCCTATGCAAATGTATAAGAGAAGAAGATCTCATTAACAAGAGGATCATAGGGTTGTCATCGAGGACAACAGAGCATATCAATTTGCTTCTTTCAAGTCGTAAGATGGTGCGACGGTTTCACGACAATATTCCAGAATTTGGAATTACTCCCAAATTGAAAGAATTGCATGGCGATATCTCAAAAAAAAGAGTTTTATTAGGTTTGTAAGGTGGCTACTTGTATATCTTGGGGCCATTTGAAACTCAAGAGTGATTTTTTCATCTGAATTCCAAGTGTGTGTGTGCTTGCGGAGTAGAGACGAGAGGTAGAGAGGGAGTAATGTTTGTACATAATTAAATTAGAGAGAATGTTGTCGACTGAAGATTCGGACAGGTTGTGCAGAGCAGCAATTTGACCACAAGCCGTGGTCGAGTTCGCGGTGACGATGCTCGGAAGCTTACATGATAGACAAATGATCCGCCAGATGTTGGTGTGAGATCGTCTATGACGTCTTAATGTAGCCTCAAACACGCACGAGGGGAAAAGTGTCGAGAAATCAGGTGAAAACGCTCCGATCAATGAAAATTGCAACCAGTGACAGGTTCCATGGTCGTGCAGATTGCTGACTGTCTCCATTTGGGCTCGTTTGATTGTGCATTTGACATGGCTGGTGTAGTTTGATTTCGCGTAGTCAAAATTGTTTCTTGATCCAGATAGTCAAATGGTGCTTCCGGCGTGCGAGGGTAATCACTATCAACTAAGAAAGAGGTTCAGATAGCCGTCTTCATGCAAGATGCGAGGATGGTAGATAACTATGGCCCTGTCTATATCATCAAGTGCATTTTGTGTGTCCGGCCCTTTCGTGCACGCGTGTTTCATAGAGCAGACTCAGTCGTTCGAGTTCAGTCATATTTTAGTAATGAACTTGTTAGTCTACGAACCCACTTCATCTCCATAACATGTAACTTCAGATGCTTTTTGGAACACTCACTAGCAACTTTCCGGCAATGAGCCGCTCAGTCGTGTTCATCTTTTCTTCACGAGCATCCCTCGATCACATGCTCGGCTTTTGACGTGGCTCCTTGAACACAAAGAAGGCAAGCATGGTTCATCCGTGGCTCTTGTCACGGAGTCATCTTTGACAAAAATTGGAAAAAAGTAAAACCCGTCTAATTATTATTCACCACAAGAAACCTATAACCCGCTGCCACCAATGAATGACCAACGTATGGTAAGTTGAAGGCTAATTAGACCTAAGTGAGTGATAACTAGCCGCCCCATAACATATAACAAGACTGGTTTAGATAATTAGGGTGTAATGAACAATGAACATGATAATTACATTCACAGTTAATATTCATGTTGAAAATTCCACTCATTTCACCTCACATGATCTTGACAAGTCTTCAACAATGACTTTAGAGGGAAGTGAGCAAAGAAGCAACATTACATCTCAATTTAGAAAGTATAATGGAATGGCGATATACACTTTAAAAGAATTTTTAAAAAACTCGAGTGATTGCAACAACATATAACATGAAACTTATTGAGTTTACTCTTTTGCTCATTATTTCATTCAAAGTGAAGTCTAGATAAAGAGTGTGAAATGACTGCCTTGTTGGTAAAATGTTTTATAGTCAATATTGTGTAATAGGAATCGAGTATGAGATTGGTGATATTATGAAATAGAATGTAGGATCAAGGTATTTTGTAATACAAAATTATCATCCTACTGCAAGCTTCACCTGCTCAATTAAGATATTTACTTTTCTCCAGGATGGATCTGCGAGACCTTTCCGGACTTGTGTGGTCTTCCACTCACAGCTTGGCAGATTAAGAGGTTGCGATTCTTTGAGAAATCATGCTAGCATTATTCGTGAAATTTTTATCAGGTTTACCTTCTTGAAGTGAGGCTTGGCAACCCAAGATTTGCGATAAATTGCTTTGCGAACGAAAAGAGATTATACTAGACCTCATGTGCTTGAATGGTTGCACGATGTTATATCTTGTGCCGCAAAGTCCGCGGGAGGACAGGAGGACACAGCGAGGAGTAAGTACAGATATCAAATGAAGTCCCTCCGGATTGAATTCTTCTAGTGCAGTAGAGAAAAATATGGATGTATCATGCTGAAAGTATACTGATTTTCAAAGGAGTGGAGCTAAATAGCAGTCCATGTAAGGAACCGAACGAATAGATTACTTTGCATCGTGAAATAGTAGCTTTAAAGGCGAATGATTTAAGGCCTCCAAGGCTTCCCACACAAAATCACAGAAAATTTGTGTTTTTTTGTAAGCATTAAATTATATTTATTTATTTATTTATTTATTTAGACAAATCTATTATGCAATCCAAATGAAAAATGTATATGAATGTGGTATAACACTAGTGTTATACCACATTCGTACATGGATAATGAAAATACTGATGGATAATCAATCCTTGTAAGTAGGGATGAATATTATTGCTATATACAAATATATCCATATTCAATGTAATGAATATTGAAAGATAACATATGTAAACCATAATGTATGGTTGAAGCACTCATTGAAGTTTTCAAGTCTCTCTGTCATATACTCTATATTATTCTCCAGCAAGAGCTTCAACATATTTTTGTACTACCAAGAGTAATTGATTGTATAAAAAATTGAACTCTTGTTAATCTATAATTAAAACACCAATAAAATACTACAATTGTATGGTTATAAAAAAGTGAATTTCTTTTCTTCAAATCTTAATATTTTCATACAAGTAATGAAGAATTATAAGAAAGCTAAAGATGATAAAAAACCATACAAGAAAGAAAGTGCTTTTAAGTTCAATAAAAAAGAAAACGTACCCAAAATATAGTTACAACTCGAAGTCTTGCTCCGATAGTGTGAACAATATAATTCACAATATTCAAAATATCTAGTAATGAGTAGTATAATGTAGAATCGAGTGATGTGATATGTAACACAAGTATCAGCTACCATTTTCGCGGGCCTCCCTCTCCTGGCTGCGCTCGTGGGTGGCGGCTCTATGGCAGATAAATACGTCCACAGGCGACGGGGTCCATGTAAGGAATTCCGATTTTCCGGTAAGTCTTCCCATGCCAGCCAACGAGGTGCGCTCTCGTACTTCATGACTCATAGAAACCAAATTCTCAAGCTTGCAACCTCCAAAGATCGATAGAAAACTTTTACGTGCTCTACATGTAAAGTCCATGTGTCTGTTGGTAATATCTATTATTTCATCATAATATTTTTCAAACTTAACTCTTTTCGTTTAATTTATTGCTTGGTGGGGACTTACCATTATGTTCTCTCTACTTTGTTTACAGCATTAGGATCTCTTTACCCACGCCGTCACATTGGCAGCCTGCATGTGGAAGCTGCTTTTCATTGATGTGCAATTAGACTAAAGGCAACATTTGTCCAGGACTTTGAAGTGAACAGATGGCTGCAGTACCTGCTTAGTGTCATGCTAAGTTCTGCAAGTGTGAAGGATTGCCACATGGTGTCGGTAGTATATGACGTCATGTTTATACTTCGTGCTATGCACTACTCTATTGGGAGATGCAGCATGCACAGCTCTGTCACTTCTTTTTTTATTCTTAACTTCCGAAACGCATTAGACTCTTACTTCACCGACCTTCAGACAAGTTACTGATTGTAGTTGTAGAAATTTTGTTCTTAAGTACAATGAAGAATGCATGACCGTCTATGCAAACACCTCAAGAATCCAGTCTTTTGCTCCAAACGTAGATATCAGATCATAATTCCAATTTGAAAACACGAGAGTCGATGTAGAAGTAGACCGTTTCATCCAGCTGGAACTGTATGAAACATCAATATTTCCTTCCAATGTTCTTACCCACAGTGCCCAGTCACTGTTGGGCATGTAATATCTCATGATGTAACTGGATGACAACTTTCGTTTCTGGTTGTGGCTCTACTACACATCAAGGTCTGCCAGTGTCTCGGAGCGAATTGACCCTTCGGTTCCGAAAACGTGACTGGGGTCTACACATGAATTTCTACATCGCATTGGATTTGTGCTCCTGTGTCAACAAAACATTATTGACCTTCCTGCACTAGTTAATCTGAATTGGAGACATGAATTGAAAAATGTGCTTTAAGCATATTCTTCATACAGAATTGCGTGTTGATTACAGGGTTACATGTTTCAGGCGCAGTAGTGTGATGAGTGTCGAAAACCCATGAAAGTACAGCTCAGAAAATGACTTGAGCAGGAAGTTGCTACACGGCATACGACCGAGGGACATCCTTCGATATACAGGTGCACAATAAGATCAGGCTTTCAAGATGTCGACTTGTGTGCTTCAGATCTTGTAAGCAGTTCGACCTAAGAACGATGACATCTTGTAGCCGACCATGTAACCGAGGTTATAAACCTAACTTCACTAGGAAGATTCAACGTGTGGACCTTTTTCGCAGTATCTGGCAAATGTGCCAAATGAATGTAAAACTTCGTCTGTCGATCTCCCTGACCAGGTAAGTTGTTGGAAGACTACGATGTGCTTAGGTACAATCGCTAAAAGAAAAGTTGCGTGAAAGCCAAATAGTTCAAGTTTCTAGGTAATCCTGAGGTAGGATTGAGTTACTCCTACCTCAGGATAGGATTCTTCATAAGTATGCCATGTTATGAAACTGACAAACAATTGACTGTAAAATGGACAAACATTGAAATGTCGACTTATCAATATCGTATGAACTCCGTAACATTGATGGAATCGATACCAGCAATTAGCAGTGCTAAGCCATTTAATCCACATAGCTACACACGTCTAATCCAACCTGATCGACCGAACCGCCTCTCCGTCACGGCTCAGCCTCATCATTTACAGTTCAACACCTGCAAACAGAGAGGACACAACATACCAGTCTCGGAACATGCAAGTTCCTAGAGGAAAATTGGGTACAAGAGACTTTGAAAGTAAAAAGGATCTTCAAAGCAACCGCCCCTCAAATAATAAAATGGAACGACTACTGTGCAAGACTAGGTTTGCACGAACATGTTTCAAGTTGATCTGATTTGACGACACAGAACAGGGAGACTTGAGTCATATCAAATCCATTCCAGGAGAAAACTCAAAAAAACGTGCAAACTTCGGCAAACATTTTCAAACCGCGTTGTCTGCCAAAGAAAGTCCAAAAAAGTAAAAGGCCACGACGGTCTAAGAGACACAACCGTCGTGTACAGCCGCAATATCATGCCATTCTCATGGGCAGTGCGACAACACGACCGCCCGTGGCTTTCAAAGAAGTTTGCTCAAACCTTACATCCCACTAGCAACCATGAAGTAGTCAAATTGCCACGCGTGGTCACCCGTGAAATTGTTCCTTCCTCCACGATTTCTTTTCACAATCACTGCAAGAAACATACATAGACGAAGTAGCCCACACAATCCCAAACTCACACACGAACTCAAAACAGATTAGCCCCTGGGTTAAGTTAGGCGCATTACAAGACTCGTAAATTTACACAACTAAAAAGATATTGATTGCTCTTTCCATTCCAATGAAATTTGATGAGGATACATGTGCACGATAGATTTTCACTATGGCCTTTCGCCCTGAGCATAAAGGTGAGACATCACGTAAGCTCTGACTGCTTGAAACATAAAACGCTTACAAAAAAACAGGAGATGAAAGCATTATGAAAATGTTTGACAAGTATAAGAGCACTTTGATAGAACATGTGGAAGTCCGAAAAGGACGTGCTAAACCATCAACTCTGTGACAAACTTACCTATTAATTGAGACAGGCACGTGGCTTCTCACATGAAGGAGGTGAAGCTCATCAGCGACTAAGGAAATCCTGGCCATGCTTGCATGTCCATCCCCCCCAACCCCAACCCAAGAGCCGGCCCAGCCAGCCCACAAGCATTTGAATCTTGTCAAGTTGTGCAGCGTTATGCACTCGATGTCTATGCACGTCAGAGCCAATTAGCTCAATTACAATTGACAAGAGTATCAATCACCTAATAACGACGTGTCTAGCTACTGAGAGATTCTCAATGCGCATATCATGGAACATATCACGCCAAAGTAAGCTCTTGAAACACTTAAAAAGTCATCCGCCAACATGATATATTACTTATGCAGGTGTATATCATGAGATAACATTGCAAACACGATAAGATGGTGGGTGAATGCGAAACCTATATGGTATCATACATTACACCAACAAACCGACCGAAAATGAGGAAGCCAAGCACTGCCAATAATTCAGACCCAAAACCTTTCGTTCACAAATGAAGTCTGTTCTGACGCAAATAACTGCACAAGCCTGCATAAGTAGTAGGCCAGTCTTGCTACCTAAAGCTTTGTGAGAAGGGACCACGCCGGAGGGACGGAGCCTGACATGTACGGAGTCGAAGACGGAGCTCATCAACCCTGCAAAACAGTTATGTGCCACAACTGCGAGCAGTCTGCGACAAAAGATCCCAACCATCCCAACCCCATCCTTGATCGAAAGATGAAAATTGCAATCTCCTCTTAGCTCCATCTCCTTAGCATCCTGGATCAAGGCTCGTTAGGCGCACGCAAAGGCGTGTGCACTGCTCTCCAATATGATTTAAGAAACGTAGTAAAGCATATGCAGTAAACAAGTTCAACAGATGGCAAACATTTTAATGGGTGACATGAATGGCTATTACATAAACTATCTACTATTCACTAGAACTTGGGCTTCGAGAGACTGATTTTGAGTGTCCTCTCCTCCTCTTCTTGTGCCGGCTTGAACTCTTCTTTCTCGTCAACGCGTCATCACTGAGTCCTTTGCTTCTGCTCATATCAACTACTGGGCCTAGTTCCAGATCTCCTGATTCCGATGAAGAAGGACGTCTACGATGCTTGTGTTTGCGCTTTTTCTCCTTGCGTTTATCTGCCTCCTCATCCTTCCTGTGCTTCCTTTTGTGCCTCCGCTTTTCTTTGCGACCTTCACCATCTTTGTCTTCATCCTCTTCATCATCATGCTCAACCTCCTCCTCCACTCCTCTTTCCATCTCCTCGTCGTGCCGGTGCTTCTTCCGGTGTCTACGGTGCCTTTCCTGCTTTCTATCATTTTCGAGCTCTTCGTCTTCAATTTTTTCTTCCTCGTGTAACCTTATCCTCTTACTCACCTTGTGAATCTCAACCCGTTCCACTTCTACTTCCGCTAAGAGAGATGTGACGGGTAAAGCCTCGTCCTGATCCCTTCTATCCAGTAGTACCTTATCTCTGCTATTGACAGTTTTAGACTTTGAAGACTCCTTAGACAAATCTTTCTGCTCCTTTCCTGCTAAATCCCTCCTATCATACTTAAGCCTATCTTCCGGTCGTCCGTCTTCAGATCCATGTCCGTCCTCGTCCCGATATGCACGGCCCTTACTTTTCTCATCCTTGCCCTCGCGATTGTTTATACTCAGCCTGCTCTGTTCTGCTTCTTCCCTCTCGTCTGCCACTTTCGCTGTTGCAATCCTTTCCACATCGTGTTCCGCAACTCTACCGACCATATCCCTGATCCTTTCTCTCTCCTTGGCGTGGACTTCTAAACTAGAATCTCTAGTGGGACGCATCTCGAGGTCAGAGCTCCCTTTAATACCCTTAGCCTGCTCTGGTCCATCACGAGCATTCGGAACCGATTGGCGGTGATCCTCCGGGGGGTTCCTTGACTGTGTCGACTCATCATCTTTGGCCCTTCTTTCTGGTATCTTGAATCTTTCCTTGCTTCTCACTTTCTCCTTCTCTTTGACCTTCACATCGTCTCGCCAATCATCCAGCTCCTCTTCATCCTCGTCACTTCTATCTTGACTGTGGAATGATTTTTCTCTACTCCGGACATCCGGTTTTTTCACAGGTTTCTTATTGAATTCCTTTGACACAACGATTTCCACATCCTCCAGCTTCTGTAAAGCATCCTTCCCACTCGGCCCCACATTATCTTGATGAGGATACTCATCGGAGGATTTCACAGAAGTGCCTACAGAAGACACTTCTCCCGGACGAACTACACTATCGTTTAGGGCTTCGCTTGGTGATAAATTTGGCTGAAGCTGGATTGATTGTGGCAAAAAAGCTACTGAGGACTCTTTATCTTTGCTCGCATCAACCTCAGTAGCAATTGCTTGTCGCGTGGACTCGTCGCTCTTTATCCTTCTATGAGGAGTTTGATCTATTTCGGATGCAGGAGTCAAGGTCGGTTTGTTTTCAAAACTAGGCACTCCATCCAAGGATCTGGGACTCTTGCCTCTCTTCACAGGGCTCTGGCTGACTTTCTTTACGGCCACACTAGGGCTGCGACTACGACTAAGAGCAGATGGACTCTTGATTGCCTCCTTTGAGGGAGAACGTGAGCGCCGTGAACTTCTCGTGTGTCTACTCCTCTCATCTCTACGCCTTCTGGGCGAAGGTGTGCGATCACGATCCCTCCTGTGTCGTGGTGAAGGAGACGGTGTACGAGACCTCCTCCTCACTCGGCTCCTACTCCGACTTCTATGTGAGCTTCGAGGATAATGATCTCTTTCTCTGTCCCTTCCCCACTCCCTTCTGACGTAATAACGTGGATAGCCATCCCTTCCACCCCTGAAGTGACTACCGCGATCCCTACTGGGGCTCCTGTGGCGACGACGTTCTCTTGAAGGTGACCGAGATCGCCGATCTCGACGATATCTAATGGGTGATAAGGATCTAGAACGGCGATCACGTCTATATCTTACAGGAGAGCGAGATTTCGACTTGGACCTTGACCGCGAACGAGACCTGCACACGAAGAATAAAATATGGAAACACTCTCCTCAGTATGATCCGATTATCTGCCAAAATATTTTCCCGCAACCGAACAAAGATGATCATATGATCAGATAGACCAAATACTTATCCATAGCTTCGTGGAATTACAAAGGAAGTTTGGCCAACTAAACTCCTCCATGGGAAAATCTCGATGACTACAAAACGGAGCTAAACGCACTTCGCCTACTGTTGTCAGTTTTATCCTGGTAAGACATCGACTTTCAGCGTAATCGTTATTAGACCAGGGGAGGATCAGAGAAGCTAACCTTGAGGCCGACTTCTCTGGCTGCTCCAATCCATTTTCTCCGTCTGGTTTAAGAAGCTTGCTTATGTCGGCAGCTCTAGCAGCGGCCATTTCGGCAGCAGATTTCACCGTTGCCGCGCGTGCTGCAGCCTGCTGAGTGGCCATTGCCTGCTGCATAAACAATGCTTGCTGAAATTGCAATTGCTGCATTGCCACAGCTTGTTGCATCATCATCGGCAGAGGAGGAGGAGTGGCTGCCGCAGATCCACCTCCACCAGACCCACTACCTACTCCTTGCTTACTCGCCGGCTTGCTAACCTTCTTCTCAAGTTCCACTTTAATTTGACGGGAGCCAACTTCCATATTGTTTAATGCAAGGGCTGCCTTGGCTTCATCTGGACTAGAATACTCCACATAAGCAGACTGCTTAGATTCTGAAAGTTTTATATCAGTAACAGTCCCGCAATAACTAAAGAGCTGGCGTAGTTGCTCCTGGGTGAGGACAGAACTCAGATTGGTAACATGAAGAGTTCGCAAAGGTTCATCCTGATCTTTTGGTGAATCGCCACCTTCTTTAGGGCCTGTATACGTAACAGGAAAAGCGTTGTTAGTAAAGCTTTGTTTCTTGACACAATATATTTCTATCAGACTGAAAATAGTGATGGGCAAGAAACACCTCGATTAATAATATATCGAAAACATACAGTCCTAACTCTCCATTCACGTCTTAAGTTTCTCAAAGTACTGTAACGTGGTACAGCAGGCACACAAGACTGTTTTGCAGGAACGCAAATGATTCCTCGGGACTTGTGGGTAACAACGAGGGGTTGTCTACGATGAGGCGTTTTTCTCAAAGACAGCCTCGTCCACTCGAAAAACAAAGTTTACTACTATAACTTGGGGCATAACTTCCTCTCAAGCCCCCATAAGATTCAATTCTCTCCCTCGACTAACGAAAACCCTTTGCAGTTGTCAGATTACAGATTTGGAACTTGAAGATTGACTACTTGTGCATACACGACGCATGTAGACCAAGATATTAACGACTTTTCATTGGTAGAACCTCCTGTACAGCACATCCTGGCTCGGGCACCTGCAGCAACATACCAACAGCTGAAGATATTTTACGCTGGCGCAGTTAGATGGAAGCTACTATCTTTTTCTGATCGTTTTCAAGCTTACTTATCCAACCGGGTCATGAGGAAGTCAGAAAGGAAGGAAGATACTCAGACCAGTAAAACAAGCTGTTTTGATGAGTTCTACATGAGTTCTAGATGCAGAACTTTTAGACAAAACCAAAAACACCTAGAAATGTGAGAATATAGACCAAAAACGGTGTCGCACATCCAAGAAGAAGAAGTGGAAAAAAAGTTGTGCTTAAAAAACGTCGCAATCTGGTAAAAAATGTAATAACAGGATCCATAACCAACCTCCAGCTAGTAAAGATTATCGATATTCCAGGGCTGCAGTCTCGGACGAGAACCACTATTCTAACCAAGAAAAAATTTGTTGATTTTAAGCAATCAACAACGTGAACGGATCAGGGTTAAGAGACAAAAGTTTACACGGACTTGAGAGTGGTTGATATAATAACCTTCATCTACCATTAACTTTTTACAGTTACAGCCACCCTGATTTGAAATAGAAGATTCTCCAACAGTCACCGAAATTCAACCTTATGCAGTTAAAAGCTGGAGGACGGACAATTACATTCTAGACATACCAAGCCTTCACTAGAGACAGACCTGTGACACTTAACCAGTAATGACCCTAATATAATGTGACTGACCAGCCGAGAAGGGCATATTGTTCGAAAGTTTCGTACTTCCTATAAAATGGTAAGTCCAACACAGTGTGGTAACGATCTGGGAATGTGAATGAAAGCATATTGAGCTTACCCGTTTGCAGTAAAACTACGATCAGTTGCAAAAAGATCAATAGTATCCGAGGGACGAAATTTAACTAGAAAAAATCACACTTCGAACACTACAGCAGTTCTTAAAAACTTTCAAATGTTTGACCGAATTGAAGTCACAAGAAAGACTAAAGTAAGAAAAGGTCATCCCATTTCCTTTAAAGGGAGGTCAGAGAATTTCCAGAAATCAAAGGAAGAGAGAATGTAAGTGAAAACATGCTCATGTATACCTGCATTCTGCGCAGCAGCTGCTTGCGCCGCCTGATATGCTTGTGCTGCAGCAATGCTTTGAGCCGCTGCCATAGCAGCTGCGGATGGGGCCATTGGCATTTGGCTGAGCCCTCCCATCGTACTTCCTGCGGCCAGAGCTGCCATTAGCTGATTTGATGATGGATGAAAAATACAATCACTTTTGGAATAGCTCATCCAAATGACCACACATACTCTCCCATATAGGAGCCTCAAGATTAGACAGGACAGACCCACCTGTAGATCCTGGAAGAAGCCCCGGAATCATTCCGAGCATGCCTGGAAACATTGCCGACATCGAAAATGGCATGTTTTGACCGACTCCATTCATGTAAGGCCCAGAGCCAAGCAGAGGTCCAGACGCCGGCAGAAGTCCACCACCAAGAGGGGCATTTCCTCCACTAAAAAATACGGGAAATGGACTCCCCAGTATGGGTAGGCCGTTGCATTCCACGCTGACCATGTAGTCCCCTCTTTTCGCCACAGCATAAGTCGCGGTGTACGTTCCGTCCGCATGATCCTTGACAACCGCTTCCTGCTCTGCACCTCCAACACCTGCCCCGGGCGTAATTCTAACGCGAATGTACGCCCCTCCATGCCCAGTTCTCCTGCCATCCGAGTCCTTGGTGACCACGACAAAGGACGCGGCCGCACCGGCTGCACCTCCTCCTACACCAGTACCGGCTGCAGTACACTTGCCGGGATCCACAGGCCCTATTGGCTTCCTTGCAAGCCTGTCTGCCTCGTCCGCCTCACTGTCAGAAGATGGCTCTCCAGTAGGGGGAGGATGATCCATGTCCTTGAAAGTTGCTTCGAACGCAGCTCGTGCAGCTGCCGCTTTCTCCTCCTCATCTTTCAGCTTCGCTTCTTCAGCGTGCTTCATCCACGCCGGCCGAGTGAGCGCTGTTCCCCGCCCTGCCATGTTCTTACTCCGAGTGAACCCCTAGAGTGGACAATTCCTCTGCTTCCAACAGTAATACCCGCAATCTGCCCTCTCGTGGTTCGGTCGACCAAACATCCTCAGGACAATACTAATCCTTCTCTTTCAATTACCATCGTCTACCCTCGGATAATCATAACTCATCTGCTGGCCCGCTCGCCAGTTCAATTCCAAAATAATTAAAACTCCATGAAAACGAAGAAAAACACCACGGACGGCAACGCCCTCACACAACAGCTAAGATGTGAATATCTCGGAGAGTGAAATCACCACCACACGCGAAAGTAGATAAAATCCTCGTCATTTTCGGGAAAGAGAGCACATTCAAACTTGTCTAAGTCGAGGGAACTAAGGGCACGACGATGAGAATTGCGTCATGCACGAAACCCAGAACGAGAAGCATTTACATTCCAGCTGCAGAGGAGACCTAAACTTAATGAAGTCCCAAGGCCGACAGGACAGACGTCGCTTTCACGATCTTTGAGAAAAAGAGGAAGAAAAGACTCGGGGCCAACTCAACCCCGCTTGGCTGATACTCCTCTGCTGCCCGCGAAGGGCGAGCACGCGGTGAAGATTTTGTGGTGATACGAACAAACAGTAGTAACAGACCAACAGACGGACCAGAGAGAACGGCTGAACCAAGGTATTGATGAGACTCATCACAGACACTCGACGGAAAAGCTCGTTCCTGCACGAGGAGCACGAATTCTCGACACCGGTGCACCCAAAGCTTCCGACGACACGGGACGACGGATCAACCCTAAATCCCCGACCGGTAGCGAACGAACTCGTGATTCCGATAATCTAACAGACGCAGGACGGGACGACTTCGGCGCGCGACTTCGGAGGGCGGATCAGAAATGTTTGCAGGCCCTTCCCTTCCCTCCTTCCCTCCTTCCCCTTCCCTTCCCCTTCCCTGGAACGGAATTGCTGCACGCCACGCCCACGGGCAAGAAGAACGAGACGAAAGATTTGCAAATGCTTCGCGCGGGCTTCCACGACCAACGTTTCTGAAACCTTCGACTCTGACTCGCACAACTGCGTGCAACTCGTCTACCCTCGGAATTCCTCGCCCGCTGGGCCACTCTTGCGCTGCCACGTGCTTCTCCGGAACTCGTGCCACCGGAGCTCGGGCCTATTATTGATTAACCCGGTTTCAAAACCCCCCGAAAATTACGTGCTTGTTTCCTGCAGCCAGCACTGGAAGGAGGACGCGACGTAGTAGGCAGATACCAAGTGGGAGATGAACCACGTAGCGTCCATGAGGAGGAGAGAGACCATTCCACCATCAGCATGCCAGTTGCATTTACTGACTTCAGTTCTATGTAGAAAGATATCTATGAACTGTGAATGCAAACTGATCAACTTTTAATATATACTTGCACATACATTTTTCAAATTTTATAATTTGCAATTTGAGATCACAACATATCAAAATTTCAAATATTCTAAAGAAACATGTATTAGACTATTTCAATATAAGACATTCATAAAAGTCTAATGCCTATGAAATGAAACAATAGAATTTAACAAAAAAATTTGTATTTTGCATTTCATTAGTATTAAAAAAGGTAAATTATGAAAATTTTTTTCAAATATTATCTGAAAAAAATTTAATAAAACATTAATTTGAAAATTCTTTAAGATCTTTATAAAACAAGTAAATAGACATCATTCATATTCAGACTTTCAATAGAAATCATTTTTTAAATTGAAAGAATTAAGCCGAATTTTTAAAAATTATGTCATTTTATTATTTTTGAATAATTTTTAAGAAATATTTTTCCGACAAAGTAAAAAAAAATAATACCATGTATTTATTATTACTATTTATTCAATAATTTGAAGAGTACAAGTATTTAGATAGATTAGAGATACTTATGCACATAGAAATTACAACTTTTTATCATAAATTTATTATTGAATAAAAATTATAAATATATTAAATATAAAATTATATTATATCTTTATTTTATCTGATTTAATGGTTAATAAATGAAGGATATATATTTCAGAATAAATAATAGTTTTTAAATTCTATTTTAATATAACTTGCAAATCTATCCATGTAGATTATTTTTTATTTGACTTTTGTTTTTATTAAGTAATATTCATATTGAAAGTGAATTTCTTATCACAAATAGCGATAATTTCAATTTTAGTTAGATTTCAATAAAAATATATAATAAAATTTTATTTTATTTTCTTATCAAATTGATTTTGAACATCTCTTTTTTTTCTTCAACTTCAACAAAAATAATAAATATGAGGCTACAATATTGAGTCTATTTGCAAAATTTTGTTCAATAAAAATTCTACATAATTTTACATACATCTACATTTTCATAAAAAATCACATTTAAAATTAATTTTTAGAATTTGATATTTTGTTGTGAATTGAAATCATTCCTATACATTGTTATATATAATCAAAAATTATGAAATTCAAAAATTCAAAATTAAAAAAAAACTTATACTTAATTTTGACCACATTTGATATTTGTATAAAAGATGTAATGCAAATTATACATTGTTTTGTGTTGTGAATTACAATGAAGAGAAATCTTTTTAGTCCTTAAATTGATGATACTAGAGGTTGATTGAATAAGTTTAATTATGAAAAAAAATCTATTATAGTAATTTTAGTCTTAATTGAAGCAATTATGAGATATTAATAGAAGACTTTATGCCTTATCTCAATGCATTATATCACATCCAACAGTATGTAAAAGATCATTTTTGTAATTATTTAGAAACAAACAATGTTTTTAGTGATATTGTACAGTACAATTAAAAAAAATATCATTTGTCAATATAATATTACTTTAAAAGTCAACGTTTTGCAATGAAGAAGAATTAAAAAATCTTATTAAGATGATTTTGTTGTGTTTGGATAGACTCACCCCTCATGATGCATCACTCTTCAATTTTTAGTTGAATATTTGTTTACACTAGTTTTGAGTTGCCACACTGTTAGGTTGTGTGTAACCATACTTAATGAGCTAAAACTAATACATAGATGATTCAGAATGAGAATGCAATTGATTAAAATTGCATTACATGTGATTATCACAATAAGGATAATGAGTTTGATAGGTAAAGATTGATTGTATTAGTTGAGAAAGAAACGCTTCAATAATCTTTGTGTTGAATATCTATGTGCTTGTTAGATTGCAAATTAAAGGCACCCCGACCATATGCCCTGCGGGCAAACGATTGCAGATCCTTCATGTGTACACCGTTTAGTACTCAATATTATACACATCATTTGTGCAGAAATACTCTATCCTGCCAACAGGGATAGGGTACGATCTACCAGTATGATTTGAGGAGATTATATCATTTTCAAAATAACGCTTAGTTATATCTAGACAGAGAGAGAAAAAAATATGAACATTGTAACATTGCGATTGAATGTCAAGATGCAGACCGTACTGATCTAATGATCAAACTGTGTTTGTAGTGATCATAACATGCTTTACAAAACTGTGATTTTTATGATCATAATCCACCGCAATTTTTTTTTAAAGATAACATACCCAAAATTGATCATAATCATAGTCCAATGCATGCTGCAACGTTTGTCACATGCACTTCGAGATAAGATCTGTGCACTTTGCTCCTGCAAATGTGAGCTACGAGAAGAATAACGTCTAGCAAGAAGAGGGAGGGTTTGAAGAGAGAAAAGACGAAAGAGGCAAAAGTGGTGTTGCTCCTCTCAACCATCCTGCAGCCACACATATAACATGTCAATCTCGTGCGAGTTGGGTCATCACTTTCCCAGCGTCTCGACAAACAGTATGAGCCGTATGAACAAATGCTGTTGCCTGATAAGAAGAGTCCATCTTCGAGGTCGTGAACCTAAATCCTATGATTCTCAGAAGACTAGATCTGAACACGTTTATTCTAGTGTCACATAGATATAACCTCTCGAGAGTGCCGGGTTGTCACCTACTTCTAGATTCTCTTCAAAAATGTGAAACTCCCGAAATCCAGAACGTAGTTTGTAAGATCCGAAGAGGTGCCTTTCGTGCCCACTTTGAAGCAGAGAAGCCATCTTCGGTGGTACAGCGCTTACACGCGAATTCCTCATCTCACTCGTTGCTTTCTTTTCCCATATTTACCGTTATCAAGAGGAAAATGATCAATCATCGGGCTGAAAAGCTGCACATCAAATCCAGGCAGTCGCTCAGTTTTTGTGATGAGCATTGAATGCAGGGGTAGGTAGATAAGTCTCGGATTCGCCGTCTTCTAAATCGCTATGTACTTTCCGTTTGGAGCACCTAAGAACGTTTTCAACCTCTGTTCGATCGTCACTAACTTTTGAACCGGCCGCCAGCTCGAGGCACAAATCCAAGTCTAGAAACGAAGCACGGAGGAAAGGTTTGCCGTCAGTAGCCCGACACTTACCTTTATTACTCGCTCGGCCGAAGTGCTGCAAATGGTCACAAAGAGAAAATTCCACCATTACCATGAAAGGCCTCAGCAGCAGGTCTTCAGAATTAGACCTTCTATTGGTTGCATATGCCCACCATGTCGTGGATGCGTTCATCTCATCTCATGGCTGTTTACAAAGTTGCTACTCCTAAATAAGTTTACAACAGTTACTGGAATACAACTCGCTGAGTAACGAACGAGTATCTGAAACCAAGTTGAAATGAACTTGAGTATATATCAGGCAGAACAGCATCTTACAACAGATTAGCACGGACTTACCCAATTGCTGTGTCGTTGACAGGGGTAGTTTCAGAGATCAGTAGACCTCCTGGTGATGTTCGCTGAGCGTGATGCAGAAGTGCAAGAGGTTGCTATATTTTGTGTTTCCATGAGCCCTGCATCTTCTGAGTGCAGCAGCAGACCCTGTCATACCAGATAGAAGAGAATGAATATTTGTTCCTAAAATGTAGAGTCTCGATGACCAAGATGTTCAGATATTACGAGACCAGAGCCACAGATTGTCCACCAAAATTGTGGGGCCAATTTTCAAAGTAGTCAACATTCCATTGTTTCTATTATTCAAGGAGTCAATTATCTGAGACATGCAAAAAGTAAAATATTCCACAGATTCAAAGAGATTCTTTCCTACCTCGGAAACAATTTGAAATTACGTTATCACAACAATCTGCTCCAGTTCGAAGTGCTTTGGCTCCTTCTTGATGTGTTTCATGACTGAATGATTCCCAATCTATAGAATCAAGGATTTCATAAGAATTCCACGGCTATCCAAAATCCAGTGAACTCTGGAACAAGTTCACGAAACAAGGACTCGAATATGTAGACCTCAAGGTCAAACGGTGTCAAGTATTTCTTCTGGCAGTTTCAAAGTGATAACTTGCGAGTTTCCTGCCCTTTTCCAAGGACCGAAACCGAAGGCCACGGAAAAACAGATCTATGCCGTGCAAAACCACCAAAACACTGATTCCTTTTCTGAAATAAGGTCTTGTCACGAACTTGAGGAACACATACCCATATACTTCAGGTCGAATCATAGACGCTATTTTCATGAGTTGAACTCAGTCCAGCCAAAATTTCACCGAAGAAACATTGGATGGATTTACTGCTGCCTCAGAGTTGAGTCCTTGGTAGGAGCCGTCCTTCAAAGCATCAGACAAACAATCAATGGTTCGACTGATGATTAAAACTGATTTTTTTTGGTTCTCATGAGCACACCTGTTGTGCCACAGGCTATATGCTCTCTACTTAAGCTACTCTGAACTTCAGCAGAATATCAGTATATCTGTGACGTGTACTGAATGTTCCGAAAGGAAGCTGCATCTGCAATAAGAGCCTCTTTTGCAGGATCCTGAAAATCTTACAAAGTGATGTACAAAGTTCGTACGCTTCTGCAGCTTTCCAAACTAGCACAACATGAGGTCTTGAATTCTGAATATTCTTCTTAGACCAGATCTGAATTGTGGACACTACGCTGCAGCTGAGGTCTGTTGGACCCACATGACGACCATGGTGACAATGAAGCATCAGATCGTCACTGATTGTTAGACTAGTCTCACCGACTGGTGATTTTATTCTACAGAGAATACACACAACTCAAAAGACCGAACAAAAAAGGTCCATACGGCGTGATCGTGCTCCTGCGGCTAGCTCGGTGCTCTCGGAGTCAGTTGCTTTTAGGAGGTGGGATGCAGAAGCATCAGTTGGTCAGCCAGCCATAAATTCTTATATTGTATTTGTGGTCTCTCTCTTTATTCTTTGGGTCATACTTATTTTACACAGTAAGCAACGAGACCCCAAAAGCTGGAGACCCTTGGTGTTTCAACCTGGTCCAGAAGAGGGGATGGACGTGGATAAGGCCACGGGGAGACTGCCCTCGGCGAATGCGTTCTCGAACTCATATTCTCCTGTAAGGGTTGACTCTAATTACAACTGTGAATGATCATATCTGTTCATAATTAACATATCATTATTTTGCTCCAGAACTAGTGCATATAATCTTCTAACCGTTTTCTTACTATATTATGTCTGTCTGTTTTGGCTATGAGAAGGTTTAGGCTGCCGATTTCACCTCCCGTCTATAATTTGTTCCTTCCTGTCCAGAAATCGCGTGCACAGCCGTCCTGTCGGTGCTGGCTATGTATTTGACGATTGGGGACATGCCATCATCTTTGCGATCGCCGTGTGATGTCTGAGCACCCGTCACTTGCATCGATGACATGGGATCTTCAATTGCATCCAGAAAACTCTATTTGCAAGTTCTTTAGTGTCCTTCCGAAGATTCCTTCAAACCATTCAGTATACGAGGTCATATATTCACAAATCATACCTTGCAACTTCACCTCTGGTCCAGAAGATCATGGGCAGACTCTGTTAGCAATCGCAAGATGTTGTCTGAGAATCTTTGAGAATGGTTGACTAGCATGACATGAAAAGCAAGAGATCATCAATGAATTGCACATCTTGATCGAGCGGTGGATATTGAAAGAATACTCTGACGACCCACGAAGAGCTCGAACTACAGTTCCTCACAGTCAAAAAGCCACGTGCTGGTTATCTTGGCTCCTTCTTAGCTGGGATGCTTGGCTGTTCCTCTAGTTTCGTGTGAATCTGAAGAAGATATTTCACCATTGACGGTCATCCCTCAAGAGTGTTTGTTATGCAAGGGTGTGAAGTTTTTACCATCGATATTCCAACAGGATGATCCTCATTTGATCGCAAGGTGAAATCGTCTGGGTTTCCACACACTACGGTCTCTTGTGTCTAGCCCTCAGGGTGTCGAAACTGCTCTAAGGTAGCCTTTCAACATCATGAAATTTCAGGAACCGAAGAGTTACTGCTCACTCAGCATCCATCCTGTCACCTAGCTGTCCAAGATCAACACGACGTCATTCTTGTCCTTGTTCTGTGTCATGTACACACTTCCGATCTGAATCCAGATTGTGTACAAAATCTATGGTTCAGCTTGTTGAAACAAGTTGCTGGGTGATTATCCGATTCCAGTCTAAGTTGGATAATTTATCGATGAACTTCCACCGAGGATTGTAAGCTCAGCACCTGCCTTGAGGTGCACGAGGCACTGCTTCGTGAACACACTTAGGGGGTTTTTTAATCTAGACAGTCAGCTTCATCTGAACGAGGTCATTGAACTAGTTCGGTAACTTTGTCACTGTTAAGGGGTTCTTTCTCACAGCGAAGACCAAAAACCACAAAAACTCATTCCTTCTTCTTGGAAGTGATTTTAAGCATAGCTTCCTTCATGACGATATTATACAGTATGGTTAGTGTAAGTGTAGAGGGTTAAGCGCTTTAGGATTAGCTCTCTTCTAAAATCGAGTAATCATTTTGGGCTTCTGTCATAATTCTGGATGATTTTGGTTGTCTACATTACTTGTTCTCATACCACATTCTGTTAGAACGAAATGAAATCTGGTACATGATGGTTGGTCTGGCAAAATGCTTAACGTAACACGTGATAGGAACTTGCATGTGTTTGACGTGAGAGACCAGAGAAGAAAATCGGTTCGTTTGAATCAGACAACTAAAATCATTTCTTTGGAAGTAGACATGAAGTTAAATGAACTATATATATCATGGTAGTCAATGAATTTAAATTACTGTATGTTAAATTCATATTATCAATATATTATGAAATCTAGCATTTAGCTTCCATTGATCTGCTAGATTTGATGTGGTATTCCCATCACGTTTAGTATCATTGTGAAATCTTTCTCTTAATAGGAAACCGGACATGTTTCAAAAAACACTTTAAAGCTACAATTATCCCTTTGTCATCCAAAGTCAAGAAACAAGATGATTGAATTTTGTGAGCTGCTAGTTATTCTTCAGAGTATGCTAATTATACTCTAAGAAGGGAGGTTTGTGATTGATAAGAGTGAAACAAAAATGCTTTCGATATTCACGCCAACTACTCTCAGTTGATATTTGATTTGAATTCTGCAATAAATATTTGATTTGAATTCACAGCCAGTGTTACTACGGGCGAGTACTTTCATGGAAGCACACAAGATCTAGTACCTTGATAACTCTATCTTTCTTGTTACGAACCTTGATTTTGTAATTAATCACGAAGGCATAGACTTGAATCAACGCCTAATCTTGTACTGCCGATAACGCAAAGTCCAATGTTGAGTGAGAGACTGATCCGGGTGGAACGAACGTGTTTATGTGGAGATGAAATACCTCCCTTCTTAAACAATTCATACAATTTTTGTAGCATGAGTGATAATTTACATGAACTAACTGTTATGTACTATGAAGTGTGAAAGGATGTCACTCTCCTTGAAATCCAGAAGTAAACAGAATTTAACTTTTGGAATGTCCGCGGTAGATCTGAGGCGGCATGATTGGGCGTGAAAGGCACGGCCTGGAGGCCTAAACCCTCTCCACCGCGTCTCCTCCGAAGATCTTTGTACCCACACCTTGCCGCGTTTATGTGACGTGAACTCCATGCAGCGGTAGCTCGATGTTTGAAGTAAACAGAGCTCATGTTCAACATCTCCAGGAAGTGGAAGTGGTGACACTTGCTTCCATGGAATGAATCTACGCCTCTGTCAGAGTGGACATCGACGAGCTTCACCTAAACACTTCTTCAGCTCTTCAATAGGTCGAGATCTCGGTGACCATTAATCACTTTTGACATCAGAAGGGGATGACTAGGCGAGGCAGTTCGGTGGAAGATGCCACGCCTAAGAGTACATGGACGTAAATCTCGGCAGATGGGACTCCCAGAGTGAAGTAGAGTGAAGTAGATTGATGCGTTTTCACCACAAGACATTGTGACCGCGAGGACTGGGTCCTCGTGGTCGATGAAGTAATTAAATACCTGCAGAGTGCGCAATCTTGTAGAGACAGATATATTTTGCGTCCTCAGTAGCTGGAAGACCAAATTCGTTTTGTCATGAACAGCGCATTTCAGTAACATGCGGGATACGCATATCGTAGAGCAGATCTTTCACAGTACGGCATCGCATGACTCGTACGAGGGGTAATCTTTGTCCGAAGGCGATCTGGATTGAGCCCCACCTCGGTCCGGTCGCTGGAGCATCCACTGTCGTTTACAGCACATACGTCCCGGGTTCATCATACATGGGGCTGAGTTTTGTCGTTTGACAAACTTCGGTTCATGCCTGTATTCTGTATTCTGTTTACAGCTCCCTCGAAATTTGTTCGAAGATTTTGCTCTTTGCTCGTTGCTCATCTGAAGATCAAACTTTGCAAATGTCCCTCTGTTACAAACATTTCGCATATTTCTGTCCTAAAAGAAAGTCATGTTTGGTTTAGGGTTTCGGCTTAGGATGTCCAACCACACGAGTCCAGAGATGGCCAAACGTCAAGCCTCATGTTGAAAATGATTTGGCCTTCGGATTCTTCAGCGACAGCCAGCTTGACTGAGAAACTTACGTCCCCAGGTGAAGCCTCAGGAGACAAAATCCTTCTCGTATCGAAAGTATTTGTAGTATCGAGAATATGAATCGTGCAACCAGCAGCGTGCGCCCAGATTGTTTACAGATTACGGATCGTTCGATTTGAGTCCAGAGATACTAGGGTCTGACAAGAAAGGACATTGCGCTTCGTTAACAGAGGATTTATCTGGTCGGTAGATCAAATGCGTAGACTATCTATACATGCAGTTGGGGCCTGGCGGCCTGGCAGATTTGATTACGCAAACGATGCGGTGACACCCGAGTTGGAACTTGAAGCGTCGGTAGAGCCCATACGCTGATTTCAGGATTGTCAAAGATCCAACAAGATCTACAATCTTAGAGGGCCTCATGGTCCGAGTGAAAACTACCGAATGTTCCTACAACGATTGAAGTTTTCATGAATATGTCTTGGCTCCTTACAGAAGCAAATCCCCAATATCAGAGCACCTCTCGACTTCGTAAAAATTCAGCGCCAGAAAACTCAGAGTCATCGTACTGGTGAGCTCATGGTGGATTAATGCAAGAAAAACCACCTCCGATAATCATGAATGCTCTGCATGTGAACAGCTAAGTAGCAAACATAATTTTACGAGATATGCATTCGGTTATAAAGGAAACACTCGATATGCAGGATGAACAAAATACCGACCCCGCAGCCTATCGGCCAGGAGGCTTACTTTTATATCTCCGAAGCCAGAAGGTCTGACTTGAAGGGCTGGCTATACGAAGCCATACACACCCTGTCTGAAACCTGCTGCGCAGGCAAAATTCTAAGTACATTAGCACCGACGGATCCTACCCATCATAACTTTATCCTCTGTGTACCTCCATACGACAGATAATGTGGATGAATTCCAACGCAGTAATCGCCGAAACAGAAGTTGTTGCAAGTGAACATGACAACAGATCTTAGAAGAAGGTCAACAACTTCCGCGAAGATATCTGCCGAGGCAAACCTCGACTGCTGACCATTGTCCACTCTATGGACCAACCGTCAACTGAATGGAGAGTATGACAAAAAAATCGAGCTCCTTTCGCTCGAAGAGTCCCCGCACAGAAATTCTTCGTCGCCTTCACTCTTTTGTAAAATGGTTGCTCATCATGCATACCGATCCGACTACTATACAAAATCACCCTAGCTCGCTGGGTGATGAACTTTCCTTCTCAAGGGGTAGATCCGACCCCACTTCTCTCTCTCTCTCTCTCTCTCTCTCTCTCTCTCTCTCTCTCTCTCTCTCTCTCTCTCTCTCTCTCTCTAGCGTGATGGTGAGGACCTTGTATGTAAACTCCGAGCACACTCCTGATGAGCTCAGTGATGTCGATGTCGATGTCGATGGTGCTGTGACTCCATGCAAAAGTACCGTCCACTTGAGAGTACGATTTCGTGAAGAAGTGTCTGTAAGTGTCGACTGAACTTAATCCACGTGACATGAACTGGGCATATAACCTCCTGAGACCGGGAATCTCTCATAACGACGATTGCTTCGTTTCCTTCGTATGCGTCTCTGTCTCCCCGTTTTTGTGCTCGAGCTCATCTCCGTTTTTATGCTGCTCGGCAGCGCCCTGTTTCGCAACACCGATTCTTCTGATTGCCATCTGCAGTTGTGCGGCCGCCACTAAGTACTGCGCAGCTTGGACAGGGGTCAGAATCTTCAGCATTTTCTTCAAGGTGTCGCATCTGAGTCGATCAGCATCGTGGCAGAGGTCCTCGAGCCCCTTGACCTTCTCATCGACCGCATCCGTGAGCGCATGCTCGGCCGGGTGCTGCTCGGCCGAAGCATCCCCTGAAAGTTCTACTGCTGCTAAAGTCAGCAGCGGCTGATCCACCAGCCCCTGCTGGAGGATAGCCTGCCGATGTCCGAGCTCGTCCTCCGCCTTCTGAGTGACAACTTGCAAATCACTGATTCGCTGCAGCTGCTTCGCCGAGAGCGATGCCATCGACGGCGTGTCCAAATCCTGCAAAAATTCGGCCAATTCCGCTTCCATCTGCTGCCCGGCCTGGGCATAAGCGAGCTGGAACACCATGGTGGGACGCCACCCTCCAATCCACATGAACACGTTCTCCAGCGGGCTCTTCCATGCGGGCTGCATCACCGTCAGCACATTCTGCCTCACAGCATCGTCCTTCGCTGCGTAATACTCCTCGTAGTGTGTCTCGACCTTGCGCACGAGCTCTCGAAGCTGCATCTCCCCCAAGTCGGCATCCAGGGCGCTGCGAAGCTCATCCGTCAGCTGCTCTTGCTCCTCCTTCCACTTGCTATGAAAGTCCACATACGGCTCGTTATTCGGCCCGCTCAGTGATCCCATCCTTCAAATCTTCGCGTCCTGCCTGCAACTTACAATCTCTACCTCTACTTGTCCGTCAACGAGCTAGGACCAGAACACGCCGGGCTCCTCCTCCTCCTCCTCCTCCAGGAAGAATCTCACATTCTTCTCCTATCTCCCGAGAGTGCTACCGAACTTCTTCGCTCATCTCTACCGACCAGATGTCGATCAAGCTCGGTGTCTCCCACTGCTAATGGCAGCTCGTGCACTCCAGTTCCAGTGAAACACAGGAGTTTCAGTTGACCTCCAGTGGTTCCAGTCACTCCGGTCGAGCTACGAGCAGCTCAACTTCCAGTGGACAAGGACAGACAGAATAGCTCCCTACGGCTGCTCAGCAGGATTTATATGACAGTCGGAAGGTTGGCGCACATCAGAGCGCGCTCCAGATCCAAGTGGGCACGACGCGAATCAAGACGACGAGGACTCCGCTCGGGTCTTTATTGTGCCTCGGGGCTAGAGAAGATGAGCGCTCGCAGAGGATGAGGACGAAGGAAGGAAGGAAGTACAGTCCAGATTCTGGAGGGCGAGGAGCGGAATACAGCGAGAAGAGAAGAGAAGAGAGGAGAGGAGAGGAGAGGAGAGGAGAGCGCAGGACAGGATCCACAATCCAATGCAGCTTGTGGTGAAATACTTTTCCCCTTTATGAGAAACCTCCTGCTCTCTGTGCCTCAGCCTCCTCCGACTTCAGACGCGAGAAATTGGAAAGCAGCTGGTGGCTGCCAACGCTCGCGGGAAGAGAACAGAATCTGCGACTTGCCGACTCAATATTTTATACGCGTGGTGTGGCCGCAGAGTGCGAAGAGACGCAGACAAGGGGGTCCTTGGGCCCCGTTTTCCCGGTCGGAGAAGCGAAGAGGAAGGCCCGGAGATCGAGCGCGGAGGAAGGAGGGGGAAGGAGCAGGAGGAGGAGGCGGAGAAGCGGGAGCAGATGAGATGTCGGTCACTAGGGCGGAAGATAGTGCGAGATGAGGCACAGATGCAAAGGTGAGAACGCAGGGAAGCCAGGAGCCCGCGCAAGTGACTGGGGCAGCATGGACAGAGTTTGTGGTGGAAAAGGAGTCTCGCTTCCCGAGGAAAGGGGGCGCGATCGGTGCGATTCCGTGGGGTGGAATCAAACGCAGCTAACGCCTAGCCCCACTTGGCAGATTGCACTTTTCCCGGGGGCGGGCTGTCTTGTTCCTCTCCTCCTTCTGTGAATCCCGTTATGTCTGTGAATCTTGTCCTTTACTGGCTGCTCCCCATATTTCTCCTTTCGAAAGTCATTTAGCCTCCAATATAGCCTCAAATTACCCGTGCACCCATCGGTAAACGGACTCGCGCTTGATGCTGACAACCTTCCGGAGTCAAAACCTACTTGTGCCTGCAGTTCAGAAACAGTTTCAGATATTCACTTATTTATAAAACAATAAAAATTGTTTTATCTAAACCTGGCCTTTGACTTTTGACCGTCATAGTTTGGATGTTTCTCCTATTGATCTCATTTCGTTTACTTAAGGGAAGACGTATGAATGGCCTCTCGGGATAATAATATCGGAGATGAAGGTCTGAGACTATAAGAATCAGGCAGCTGGATATGAAGTACTGTACCCAAAAGTGTAGATTATGATGTCCCCACGAGTTAAGATTTTTCCGTTTGCTGCTGTATACCTGGCATTTTCAGAGGTGAGATGAGTGTTCATGTTCCCGCATACACTCCATTTTATTGGAGAACAAGCCACTCTCTGACATTTACAGTACTGAAATAGCAATCTCAGTTCCCTTAGAGAACTGCGCTCCATTACATCACTTGGTCTCTCTGATGAACTAATCCCATCATTTCTCCTTCTCACCATTTCCCTGTATACATCTCTTTTCCTTAGTCTTGAAATTCACTGAGTTTGTTCCATGACTTCTTTTTCCTTGCACTATCTCCTATTACCTTCGAATTCTCCCCTTTTATAATTTTATCCCCTTTCCCATATTACTTCTTTGCACTTTCACTTTACGTTTCATCCTTGTACGGCGGGATGGGGTCTTCCCATCCTTTTTGATATTTAGTCGGCTCCTGCCCCTCTTTGTTTGGTCAAATTGCCACATGACTTATATATATAGACACGAATGGAAACAGCAAAGCTGGATAAGCGAGGGTAGATCGGGAGTGTCTCCGCTCCAAGAGCACCGAGTTGATGTGATGACAGGCTGGAAGGCGGATTGGAACTTGAGGTAGAAACTGGGAGAAATGGCTTCGGACGTGATAACGGAAGTGTGAGGACTTGTTCTGGATGTCAATTGCGACGGTCAACGTCGTGGGTCGCCGCGTCCAACCATACCCCCCTTGGCTTAGCTATAAACCTGGCGACGGGTTCCAGATGTTTCCAGGTGCAAGCCTCCAAGTTGCGAAATCAGCTCGTCCTCAGTCTCGTTAAGACAAGTTCTGCTTCGGCTTCCTCTCCTGGACACCACTTGCCTTCTCTCACAATATTGCAATATTTATGTCCCGTATGCAATAAACCTCACACTTTCCAATGTGTAAGTGTGTACCGTAATGTACAGACACTCAGAGCAGCTGACCGGATTGTATGACACATGATGTACATCTTGGGTCATGGCTCTTCCCCTCGCCTTCAAGATTTTTAGTTTTCAATGGGTACATACCTGACATGTCTCTCGAGCATAGACCTCCGAGGTGCAACTTGGTTCTTCGATGATTTTGTTTGCAGGTGATGATTTTTCACGTGGAGTGTGCAGGCGCTTCAGATTTGCAGTGAAGTAAACAATGGGAAGAAGATAAGGGAAACTTCAAAACCAAGTGAATGCCAACTCGAGGGAGGCCTCATCTCATGACTCGAACGGTGCTCACGTTGGAGTCGGTTGTACCATGTTCGTTGCTTGAGGGACGCACAATGAATCTATGACTCCGGGAGCCGTGTTGAAAGAGAGGGACTAGCACACTTGACTCGAGTGTTGAGCATGAGGTTGAAATTTATTCGATCCGTCTTTGAATCGGCAGCATCTCGGCATCTCGTCATAGTCAGCGGTCATCGACCGCATGCTCGAACCCCGAGAGAAAATCACAGCGAATCTCCATAGAAGATAGAACAAAAGAGGAAATGAGAATTATTTTTTATTAATATAAAAAATATAATAGCGTAAATGGAAAATAAAAATTTCTAGAGGCCTTAGAAGCTTTAGAGAGTCTTTTCTATGTGCGTATGGATGGTAGGAAGTAAATGGTTGGTATGACTCATGGACTCTTGGACTGGACACCGAAGCATCATGGACTGGCATGGGGAAAATAAGTACGAAGCCATTGGAGCAAACTCGTGGGACTTAACTGCGGACTAAACTGGGTTAGGAGGAGATTGGCCCTACGACGTGGCGGTGTAAGTGGGATTACAAGCGGATCAGTTGCCGAGATCTGGAGACCAATGATTTTTTTCCACTCCGCTGCCCTTCCAATAAAGCGCCCCAGAAAGATTGCCTATCTTTGTTAACCACGACTTTCGGATGCTGGAGATCTCTCCATTCCTCCGAAGATTTAGCCTCCAAATCTACCGTCCTCTCCGTAAAAAGCCTTGTATCTAATACTGTACTCGGCACACCACCAAGTGCCTCAGACTCTCATCTCGTGGGTCCCTGCTCCGCATGGCTTTCGAGTCCACCGGGGTCCTCGAATATACGAGCTCCCTTTTACTCAGTCCTTTCTCAATTGTGGGCGGCCTTGTCAAAAGCGCATGATGGAAGGCCATGTCTGACCGTTCGGTGGGGATAACTATAAAGTGATCCCCGCAGGAAAGCGCATGTCAGAGTTTTTGGAAACTGCGACGACGAATCAGACTGGTATAATCCTGTGATGCTAAACTTGCAGTTTTCTATCGGGACACAAACATTCGTCGTCCCGTTAGAAATCAGAAACTTTGCGTATCATCGTATCAATTTGCCTCGAGAAAATATCTTTGGGTATGGATTCGCTGGACTTTAATGGAGCTGAGCATCTCGGAGCCTCCTGCTTCACTTTACTAGACCTACTACTCGACAGATCGAGAAAACATGACATTATCACAATCTCATGTGATGTGCTTGTGCAGCATATGAATATTTTATTTCTAACGAGATCAACCTAGAAGATGAATAAATGCCACAAGTGATTGCTAGATTGGGGGACTAGCGAGTTGGACCATAAAAAGAGGTAAAATCCACACTATTGTAGTTACAGACGTAACTAAGGGAATATGGTAGGTCTAGTTGCTATAGAATCAAAGATGTGAAATATATAATACTTCACCTCAGATGTTTAAACTACATATATACATATATATTGAGCCATATGTGTAGAATTCTAACATCCAATCTACATGATTGGATGTTAGATGGATGTAATTGCACCATCATATGCTTTCTCTACTGCAATGGATATTCGTAGACTTAAATAAATTTCCTCCTTATAAAATATAAGGTAAATGCCACGTTTTTGCTGTAGCTTCAGTTGCCATCCATGTGGGATTATGGGTATTCATTTTGTCCCCCAAAACTAATATGTCTAGGAAATGTATACGTATTCCCACAACAACCACCTGGTTTTTATGCACGTACATGTCATTTTCTCCAACAAGATTCAAAACAATCATCTTGCTCTCTCCACTGAATAATCAACATCACAAGTCCTCAAGACTGTAAGCACAAATTTGAGACCTGGATCCATGTATCTGTTAATGAAAAAAAATGACACGATAACTTGCATGACGTTTTAAATCACACTATTATTATCATTGCATACCAAATATTCAAAAGATTAAAACTCACATAGTCAAATTATTATGAGACCGGTGTTCCGTATTATCAGGAGAAAATACCAGTCATACACAGATAACGCAGGCACGTAGTACGTGGTTAGCCACTATGGACTACGTACACAACAACTCAGAAGAATCATTACTGATAAAACCCTAAAGTGTTCAAGGAGAGTTTTAGCTAGCTCTCCTTTATATTGAACATCAAAATCTAAACCCATATTCGAATTTAACTACTTGAGTTAAAACAGACCTGATTTTATACCAACCAAATTACAATATATACATCTCAATCTAATAGACTATCAAAGTTGAATAATCTATTGAGATAACACGATGTGTTAGGCTTGCTGAAGTATAGAATGAATCAGAACGGTGGTGACTTTCAAGCAAGCGCTAAAATCGAATGGATAACAGATAGATTAGAAGTTAGATTGAGGACAATTCCAGTCGGAAGGTGAAATTTACATTGAGTTATCTCTTCTTTCCACGCTGGACCACTTACTAAAATATCAACACGGTCTCGGTCCTCAAGAGGTTTGCGAGGTAGACAATCAAATTATGTTGGGAGAAAATTTTCCTTGCAATTTGCAAGCGATGGGATGAAAACTCCATTCAGTTGTGAAAAACATGATCTACATTTCTTCTTTTCCTGTTAACAAGTTTGCTGGAGTAGGCTGGCTACCTCACAAAGATTACCTGCAGTAAAACTGAGTAACTCTGAAGAAACCTGCTGACAACTCTTGGATTAGTAGGTGATTGCGGAGCCGAAGTGATGACCAAGTAGACACAAACTCTTACACTCCAGAAACCGAAGAGTCCTCGAAAGTGCCTCATGGAAAGACCCTTGGAGACCGTCTGAAGTGGAGGTCAAGGAAAGCCAAGTGCACATTTCGCCCTCATATCCCCTGAGAATCAAGACATTTTGGGATCAAAGAAGTTGGGATGATCTTCGTGGTACTCCTCCTCCTCCGCAACAAAATCTACAGGCTCACGAAGCAACTCATGCGAGAGTGACCCCGATATCCTTTGCGACTTTTGGGGCCAACATTGCTTCGGGAGCTCGTATTGTGGACCATCTTAATGTGCCGAGAAAATTGCAAATTGAAATCTGCATTATCTGACATTAACATAAAAACTGACCGACTCCTCGATCTTTATTGAGTGCAAGAAACTTCTCAAACTCATGCAAGAGGTGGTCCCCTTAGACGGTTTTCATCTGTCGACCAACATCCACATTCTCACTTTAGTCCCGTCAGACAACACTATAGAATCCTGTTTAGGTCTTCATCATAGATCGGGTGGCCAAGTGGATATAGAAACCGATCTGAAGACCCCCATCGTACAAGCCCTAACGGCCTTCATCCGATGAGCATCACTTTATAGAACTGAGACAGAGCCGTCTAGTAGGATTGGAAGTAAGCTCCACGTCACTTCAGCTTTGCCAAATAAGCAGTGCATCTTTGCTGTCGTTGCAGGCATCCACTTGGCAAATCATCAACAACGTGATGCACTAGGTTTAGGGTTGCGACAAAGAGAATTCCTTCGTACTGTCAGTTCCTCTCTGTAAGGCAGAGAACGAGCTAATTGAAGGAAATTGAGGGGTTTAGCGTTGTGATTTTGATCATAGAGAAACGCCATGACGAGGAGTGTGGTCGATGGGATGCGGAAAGTGAGAATTTGTGCTACTCCGTGGTCTCTTACGAGCACGCGTAGTAAGTTCCTGATCACCTTGTGAGCTCTTCAATATTTTGCCTTAACATTTTTTTGTCAAAGAGGACATCATTTACGATTGAAGAGCAAGTGATTTTTCTGGATTCATGTGAACTTTGGTACTAAGTGCCTGAGCCTCGAGCCAGCGAGTTCTGGGAGCTGCTAATCTTATGGTTACATACGACATTTTTCGTCACAATATATGTTCCAGTGGTGTTCAATTCCGTTCGCTGTAGTTCACATCCGTTTAATTATCGATACGAACACAATCTATTGCACTTAAAATCGTGAGATCGCAGCTCAGGATGGTCAAAACTGGAATATGTACTACATGTAGTTCGACCCTGAGTGAATAAACTCGATGCAAAATGTCATTGGATGCCATCACGTAACCATCTTATGGTTACGTGATGGCAAACTATTTAAACCATACATGTGAATTCAAGTGTCAGAATATTATTGGTTTGTTTGATGGTTCAATTATAGTCTGCTGTTAAAAGAAGGGGATTGCTTCTCCTTATAGACATGTCACAGCTTTTTCTTCCTTGAACTTTCCGTAGTGAGCATGATTTTTTCATTCAATTTGGTTTTGTTCACACAGCCTTGGAGCTCATAATACTTATACTAGCGAATGTAAGGTTCTACCACCTCTTGGTGTAATTTTCTCGATTTTAAACAGAGTAGTCGAAAGAGATTATCTCATAAGCTTACATCTCTTGAATTAAGAGAAGGAATTAGAGGTTATTTTAAAGATTTAGAGAGAGAATCAACGAATTAAGAGATTATATTAGATTTTGTTTTTTACTTCCTTGTATAGGACAATAAGAGAATGTGGTCTACGAATCATCTTGTATATATCTGGTTGATACTGAAATCTCCTCTGCACTTCAAGTGACATAGAAGTAGGCGAGATATTACTTGGTTGGACCAGCAGCAGGACTTACGAGTGTTTGCACTTACTTCAGGATACTCACCCCGAGCTAGCAAGACACTCAATCCAGAACCTAATCCAAAAGAACAAGGAAATGCTGAAGAAGCGTCCCTTCCACTCCTGCAGAGATGCAAGGTGAGAAGCTGATCTCCTGAAGGTTTCTTACGTTTTATTTGAAACTCTTGGACGTAAGTGTTTTGGAAAGGATACTGACAGTGGTTCTGTTTTGCAGAATATTCTCCTCTCAAATTGGAGAGGACAGCTAAGTACAGTCAAAGAAGGTTGGGTATTTCTTCGTTTTTTTTCGTTTGGCGGTTGGGTTCGGACTATCGCTTTCTGCGAATCACTAAGAAGCAAATCACTCTTAGTAAATTCTCTTATTCTGAGATATAAGAAATCTGTTTGAAGATGAGTACATTTGTTGATTACTGAAACTGCGAAGCCAAGGCGTGGTGTCTAAGGACGGAGGTAATAACAAAGAATTACACTTTCTCTTCCCCACTCCACTGCAGATGAACGGAGCGTCCACGGGTCTATTTCGCAATACTCGGTGGTGGCGGGACAGACTTTAGTCTGGATTCCAAAAAATGACCCTCATGAATCGGTAATCTAGCGTTAAGTTCGAAGATGACTCATCTTGCAATTTATTCTGAAAAATCAATTTGATGGTTGTAAGCTGGCATCAAGTTGTAAGAGTCTATATGACAATGTGCCTGTTCGGCCCACTATAGTTTGGTGAATTTCTAGATACAGTAGAATTTCCTTTTCTAGCATGTTCTTCAGAGAGCTGTCGCTGAAGAACTTAGTGGTCGCTTTAGTTTGAGTTTAGTCTCTGCTTGGAGCTAGGAATTATTAGGAATCGAGTACGCATCTCAAGGTGTGGTTATTTCATTTGTTCACAGAACTTTTTAATGGACAATAGAGGGTCCTTGGTTATCGGACATACGGATCCTACACCACTCGTCCATACCATGAGAAGTGTTGGCCATGTAAGTCACTACTGTTTGAAGCAAGCCATGTATTAACTTGAAGTAATAGACGGATGATGACTGGATGATCCACAATGTTGGCGCTTGTTTTCAAACTGAGGTTTAGGGGTGTCTTGAAAAGTAAAAATACATAGATGATTTGTTTTGATCCTTTGTGTCAAAGCTTGGCGGTTAGAGCTCGCCTTTGCAACAGAATTATCATTGTTATAGAATTTATCGATTGTTCTACATGATTATAAATCGTTATTCGAATTCTCCCGGTTATCTTAGACTGAAGAGTTCAGTCTTATGTTCAGTCATTATCTTCTTATCATCCGTGGTCTGTTCTTGACTGTTTTGTTAACAGGTACCACCCCGCACCATACTTCTGGCAGAGTTTGATCCTGTCCCTGACTACGAGGTATATTTTTTAATGATCAATAGCTTCTTATAGATAAGTAACGCGTTTTCACTATGTTGTAAAAATGCGTTGTGGAATGATTGCTATTTGTTTCCCGAGAGGTTTTTTTTATCCTCAAGATATCAATTTGAACGTTCAGCAACGCAAACTAATTGTAGGGAGCAGATGATGGGTGGTTGTAGAGCAGATGGAATACGTCAAAAAGAGGGTGGTCAAATTGATGTCATCTACTAAACAAGCAATCGAGAATGCAGGACCTGCTACACAAAGTTTCTTGAGAGATTCAGGAAATTCTTTGAACGCGAGATTAAGAGCTCTCGATGCCATGGCACACTCAAAAGAGAAAGATTTTAGCGTCTATCGGCTTAGTCTCAAGTAACACGTCTTTCCTCTCCGCCATTTTATTTTAGAATCTCTGCATTGGAAAGAATAGTAGTTATGAGGTTTCTTAATTAGCACTGAATTCTCTCTCGGACGGTATTTGTACACATGCATCACAGACGCATCTTATTCTATCAATAAGGTGCATCTGTCACGTCGTTCAAATCCAACCAAAAGGGAGAGGTGGCTAAGATTGATTATCTGGTCGCAGGACTTGTCACTATGTAGATCTTCTTGGTGGAAGACACCCAGTGGAAGCCAGTGACCTTATGGGAGCTGTAACTGACCATCTTTGTAAGTTTCATGTTGTTGTATGATTCGATATGCTGAGTGTTTTGATTGGGTACGAAGTTCTCGTGATCACGGATCGTTAGGTAACATATGTTTCCTGATGATGCGAAGCTGGTACATCGTGTTTAGTTTTCTAACTATTATTGCAGTTATTTCGCCAAGTTTTTATTAACGACTTGAACTGATTATTACAAGCTTATTGGCAGTCGATATTTGAAGCATTATGCCTTCACAGATAAGCAATTGTTTGGGTAGAGATTGAGTATCTACATGTCGCTTAATGTACAAGAGTTGCGCAATTGTTTTTGCTGACAGGTCCCTTGTCGTCCGCTCTTATTGAGGGTGTGAATCAAAGTGATAATAGAAGGATGGCTCTTATCATGTTTTGTGCCGTTTATGTCCAAGAGCGTGTTCAGGTACTTCTTTCTCGACAGTACCGGTGTTTGGTCTTTTTATATGTTTCCAAGTTTTGTAAGGCTTAGTTCCATGTCAGCCAGGGTGCGGGGTCTATGGCCATCGGTCTGTGCTAGACACATGTTAGTGAGTGTTTAATGCTATAGCTGGTGATTTACTTGCATTTGTTGCGTTTTACCACTTAGGTACTCTTTGAAACAGATTTGTAATAGTTAACATTGTTCCTTTATACTTATGTCTCCCTGTTACCTGTTGTTTTTTGTGTAGTAGGTCATCAAATCTAGATTTCTGCTGGAGTCTTAAGCAATGCACTGCAATCTTTTGTCTGCAAATTTCGGCTTCTGTCTTATATCGTGTGTGGCATGTGCAGGATGCATACATTTTCTCGGCGGACAGATGGGGAATCAATATCCTTGCGAAGACTGCTGCAAAACATAGTGACGAGGATAAGAACAGCACTACTCAGTCACCAGAAATGGAGAGAGCAAAATGGAGAGAGTTTCGGTTTTCTTTTTCTCATGAAGTAAAAAACACAGAACATTTTTGTTTGATGCTTGCAGAGATGGAGAAAGAGTGTGTGGAAGCTTTGAACAAGGCTCAGGAGTTGCTCAGTGAGCAATGAAAGTCTAGGAAATCGTTCATCTCTGTTCAGATACTTGCAGACATCCCAGCGAGAGGATGTGCTCAATACGAGATACAAGAGTTAGATTTGAGGGATTTGCTGGTAAGCCAGGAAATTATACAAAGTCAAATGTGCGCTGATTAGAATAGTCATTCTTTGTAACAATGTATCTGCTATCAAGAGTACCAATTATTTTTGCATATAAGAACTTTTCCAGCTACGTCAGACTAGAGAACTTGTATTTGTAGCAAAAACTTGGCATATTGATTGCAAATATTACAATACGATGTCTATGTATGTATATGTACATACATACACAGACATCGTTATTGTGATGTGGTCATTAAACACGTGTTTCATACGTGTTTCACGTTTTGTATGAAACACAAAACGTGTTCGAGAAAAGTTCACCAACGTCCCTAACCTCTGTGCCCTGGTGGAGTTTAATTCTTTTTTCTATATATTCTCTTTGAAGATGAGGTTGGTCCAAAGGTAGAAACATGAGTTTTTTTTCTGTGCAAAGGGGGAGAGAGTCCGATTGACGAGTATCAGTATTGTGCAGTGTTCAACAGGTAAATATCAAACGACGCTCTGGAGAAGAATTAATGGCAAGATTCAATGAATTCATCGATATGTCTATAATTGATGAGGTAGAATTGTGGCCCAGGATGGAACCTAGTGGTGGAAGATATTATGTTAGCGCTACCTAATATAGCCATGAAGATCGCGGTGGTGGATTTAGCTATAAGTATGAATATGACGGTGGCAAACATAATACCAAGACGTGAATATAAATATGGCTGGATTGATGATAGTGGTTTATATATCTATGGAGATTTGATGAAGGATCACAATGGAAATTTTTTCAGTGTCCAGCAAGAAGATTTCTGTTCATCCAAGTGATGAATTTATCATACGCAAAAGAAATGTTTTTGTGACTAGTCATAGACAAACGATAAATAACAAGAGCAATCCCGTTATATTATTCTCAGTATGTCTCGAGATCTTAAAATGAAGTGAGTAAGATGTATTAAAATAGTCATGAGACTGAAAATAGTCATGCGACTGAAATTCTTTTCTAACTTGTGTGTTTTATGAATATTCAAAGATTTTCGTCAACTCTCAAGATCTTAAACTGGCGAAGTAAATTCTAATATGGATGTCATGTAAATATTCAAAACTTTTATTCCAATTTTACACAAATAGTTCATTGTTGGGGAACTTTAGTGTACATATTATATGTTATTCTTACATTGGTATTTACAAACTGACATAATTTTATGAAAATCAACCTTTCCAAACAGTACTAAATAAATAGTTTTCATATACATAGATAACAGTTGATTAATATAACCACTCTTCATCATCATCACTTTCAAAATCAAAATAATTGAACGTATTCCATTTAAATTAAATCCCTAATCTCTTGATAACTATTGCATAGATAGAAAAAATAGAATGGTCATGAATATACATCACAACTCATTTAATCGTCACATGATCATAAATATCAATGACATGTATATCATATCGAAAGAGCCATGAAACACATTGAAGCGCGAGGTTTGTGTGATTGTGTATAGCTATCAGAGAATTTTAGAACACTGCTGGGGTAAGTTTAAACATGAAATGACATGCGCTCAATACATGGGGGCAAGTACAAAAACAATAATGAAGGCTCACACCATCTTCCCGGAGATCAAAGTGAATGCAAACCCGTAAAATCTCGAACCTCACATCATTTGCATGGTTGTACGATGGAGCTCTTTCAATCGGTTACATGTCAAGTCTCCGGTGTCTCCAGCAGTTTGGGAACTTGTTGGAACGGAGGCCAATTCAATTGAACCAGATTCCATGTGGAGACTCCTCTTGCACCGACCGTGCAAACAAGTACAGGTTCATGATCTTGGGATTGGGACTGCTGCACGATAAATACGTGAGGCCAGAGATAACTTACCTCAGGTAAGCTGAGCACACGACCTAAGGATGGACTTCAACAAGACTGAACATATATTACACCTCACATGTCGAAAGTAGTCAACTAGACAGTACTATAATTGTCTGAATAGTTAGTTGCATACCTGCTCTTTGAAGATTCACATGAAGAGTAGGAAGACTGTTCCTATCGGATATTGCCGTGATTTCACAGACTCTGCGCTGTCGAGTCGGCTCGAGCTCGAACGGCTGAGATGCAAAGAACGTAATTCATTCGTGATTCGTAGTCATGACTTATTTTTGGATTGATTGATACAGAAAAATCCAGTAAGACTTAGGGTATGTATAGTGGAAAGAGTAAACACGGTTATCATAATATACCAATTCACTGAAATAAAGAACTAATATATCTAGTTTTAACTGTATACAAAGAAATAGAATCAATGATCATTTTATCTGATACTTATCGTAAATATAAGGCTTATTGAAGAGTTAAGTTTATCATTATTAAGCATTAGAAGTATGATAGAGATCATTCAGACACTGTAGAGATTTTCGATGAAAGTAAAAAAAAAGATTTCCAATGATCTGGAGAGAGTATCTAAATTAAATTGAACATGAGTCTGATCATATTCTTCTTCCACAGGATTCATACTTTGTGTTACTTTTGAACCCGAGCTTTACCTAGCCCGTGTGCTATAAATCCAGATGAAGAAGATGTTTGCCGGGTGATGCAGTCTTTATACATCAATACATTATTGGACGATATACTCTCTGCTGCGGAACCCTCTTAATTTCGGTTCAACACTATATATATACACACTTTTAGATTATATCGTATAGCTTTTAGTATATATCGTATTAGTTTAGGGTTTAAGTTCATGTTTTGAGTACCTATTGGTTCTCGCTATACATGTCTCACCTCTCAGTTAGCATGCGAGTTCAACACTATGGTTAGTATTTATAGGAAGCTTCTTAGTATGCTTCGTATTAATTTAGGGTTTAAAGTTATGTTTTGAGTACCTAGTGGTTCTCGCTATATGTCTTGCCTCTCAATTAGCATCTCAAATGTTTTTACTTCCTCAGTGTTTTTACTTCCTCACAGTGAGTTATGTGAATACAGAGCTTGTTGAACATGGTATCACAGCGATCAACCTAGGACTATAGTCTTTTCTGGTCAATGATTAGAGACACAATTTTTCCATTTTGTATCCTGCAACAATTATTTTTTTTCGATGATTCTTTTAAAGTTGTCTCTTCACTCACCTCCCATCATGTCTGGTACTTTTGTCTTAGGTGAAGATGCTATTAACAATGTGGGCAGAATAAGCGATGGAATGATGCCGCAAACTGCATCTATTGATCACTCTTCACTTATCACTAGAATTGATGGTACTGCAGGGTCTCAGTCAGGAAATGATCCTAGTATTCCTGAGGCATACCACTTCAAAGAAACAAGCAAGTATGGTGTCTGATCATTCAAAATTCAACATGCACTCAAGAGTTTTGGCCTCTTTGACTACTGCATGAAACCACCCTATGTTCCTAATAGTTTACAAGAGAGGGAAGCTCGTTCTAGAGTAATGAACATATTGATCAATAATGCAAAAAAATTCAGGTAGAAAAATCTTTAAGAGGTATACTAAAACCTTATGCTTGTTGGTCATATCTAAAGCGTAGATTCGAGTCTCAAAGTGTTCCTTGTAAGGCTCATCTGGTTGATAAGTTTTTATCCTTGAAAAAAACTGAAACAATCACCATCGATGTCCATCTTACTAAGATCGGAAATATTGTTGACCTCCTAGAAGAAGTTAATGTAGGTCACCTTGAAGACATTGTAGTTTATTACACGCCAAAAAACCTTCCAAAAGACTACGACATTGTATGTTGCATGTTGATGGAAAATATAGTATTACCATCGTTTGATGAGATGAAGTCCATACTGCTTAGTGAAAAAATTACAATAGGCCTAGTCATTGCAGACAGGAATAGCGAGGCTTTTACAGTTTATAGTCATTGTAACAGTAGAGTCTCATCTCGTAATGGATCAAATAATCATGCTAGCTTCACGGGCTACTTAGGCAACAACATTCATAGAGGGAGATTTCCAACACGTCACTATCACTCTGGCTTCACATCTGGAGCTCTAAATTGTTCTAAAAAATTGCAACCAAGCGAGTGTAGTTCATATCAACCAAGATTTAAACCTTGCGGGACTTTACAACCCCGACGAAATATTGTCTGCAATTTTTGTATGCAGCTTGATCGTGAATGCGAGATTAAGGCGCTGGTAGATCAACTCCGCGACATGGAGCATCGTCTAGATGAAAAATAACAATACATTCGCAATGGTGGTGGCTTGGTTTATGCAATCGATGTGAAGTTCCTTGAAGATGATACAGAACTTGACAAGAAGTATGTCAGCCTTGACGGTAATACCAATGTCAAAACTTCCTCAGTGACCAGCAAAATTCTTGCGATTGAAGTCAACATACTTGAAGAGAAATCGCTCACCGTCTCACATTGGCACTTGGACTTGTAATAACCCACCAAAGTCTAAAACTGCAGTATGGTGGTAAAAAGATCGAACCCACAGGGACAGAGGCAACACACAGAGTAAAAGTGTCACGTTTAACAGACTTTTGTAGAGTTTGAATTCTCAGGCGACTGTCACTCCCAGAAATACTGCAGTGCTCGACTCGGAGGCTCGACTCGGAGGATGCTCGGAGGATGCACGGTACAGCGTGGTCACTCAACACACACACACACACACACACACACCTGAAACTGGCAAAAAGCACAACTCGGAGGTCGGTCAGGACCTCCGCTTCGGATTTCAGGAGGAAAGTGTTTCAAAAGTTCACTCAGAGGTTCTGCAGGTAGTGACTCCCACTCCGGCTTTTACTGCCCTTCCGCCAGGAACTAGCGTAGGGTACCCGGACTGGACTTCCCACTTCGGAACGAAGCCTCTTCATACGCCGTGGACGTCACCCTCGACTCACACCAAACGTAGGGAGTGCAGGCCCGACTGAGAACTTAACTGAGACACGATCCAGTAACACACACACAACCTGAATTGCAAACCAAGGCTTACACGAAGTAATAAAACTTCACTTTGGCATTCAGGGAAAACTTCCCGTAGGAGTACAATCAGGATATGTCACTCGAAGGAGTAAGGGGGAACTGTTCAAGTCTCTAACTCGCAGCCGGCTCTAAGCATCAGAAATCACCCGCAGGTGCAGATCCGCACTACTCAAGTCTCTAACCGGGTGCTAGCTCTGAACATTCAGCCGAAGGCCTTCAACTACAACATACGGTAACTTCGCTATGCTGCAGCTTCTCTACGTGGTGCCAGGACCAAATGCACAAACACGCCAAGAAAGTGAGTTCCTGATCTGCACTTCCGAAACTGGAAGAGTCAAAAGGCAAAACGCCTTGAACTACTTTATACCTTCTAAGGTCCTAACTAACACTACACTACCCGCTAGGGTGCGA